AGAAACCTAGAGCTAAGGAGAAAATTCCTGACAGTGGGAACAATTAACCAGTGGAATGACTTGCTTTCAGAAGTTGTGGGTGCTCCATCACTGGAGGCTTTTAAGAAGAGACTGGACAGCTACTTGTCTGGAAGGGTATAGGATTGGAGTAAAAAGACCTCCAAGGTCCGTTCCAACTCTTTTATTCTGTTAAATGCCAGCCACAGAACTCCAGATAACATGGACAATTTTCTTAGGCTGTGGCCCAGATGAACTGAAATTTCAAAATGGAGGGGGGGATATTTATATGATCAGCTAGCCAGCGTATAATGGGTAGCTTCTGTTAAAAAAGAGCAAAACATTGAATTACACAGAAAATGGAGAGGAAATCAATCTAATTTAGAAAATAGCAGTCATTGTTCAATACTCCCTGGTAATTTTGAAGCAGCCGTGTAATAATATTACTTTGGCAAAATGAGTTTCTGTACAAAAATTCAGCTTGGCTTTAAAAGCAGCCCAGTGATAGTTTTCCAATTAATGCATTTCACAGAGTTCCGTTATGGATCGAATTTCATGTTGGTACATTAAAAGAGAAAGAGAAGCAGGATGCATCGGAATAATATTAGGAAAAGAGTGCCTTAGGTAAAATCAGTAGACGCTACTTAAAACATTTAGTAGTTAGCAGTCCTAACAAAGATGTCCGGTGTACATACAAAATTTGCAAGATGGCAGGCATGGGTAATCTCTGTCCTACCTGATGAATTTGATATAAAAATGATAGGTCTTCAATAAGGATGCAGCACCTACCATCTTGCAGATTCTGCCCCTCTTCCGAAGATGGCCCTGAGTCTCACACACATATTTTTATACAAATTTTGTATTGGTTTTGGCCAAAGAAGTTGAGGTAGGGATATGAGACAAACTCAGTTTAATCTTTTGTGAAGAATGAAGCAATTTGAGATGGCTATGTGTAATTCACAGATGAGAACCATTTAAACCCAGAAATTTTTGTTTATTTATTTATTTATTTATTTATTTATTTTCATTAACTTATATGCCGCCCTTCTCCCCATGGGACTCAGGGCGGCTCACAGCATGTTAAAACAATATAAAACATTATCCCCTATAAAAGCCAATTAAAAACCAAATATTTATCGCTGTGTCTTATTAAAATCATTAAAATTGTCCCTATTTAAAATTCACCCTAGGTNGCGCTTTAAAGGTGGTAACTAACACCTTAAAGCGCACCCGGAAGGCCACTGGCAACCAGTGCAGCTCGCGCAGCAGCGGCGTTACATGGGAGCGACGCGTCGCTCCCAACACCGCCCGCGCGGCCGCATTCTGGACCAGCTGAAGCCTCCGGATGCTCCTCATGGGGAGCCCCATGTATAGAGCATTACAGTAGTCCAGTTGAATTGGTTGATAGTCACCCAACATTGCTAAATCCAATAAAGCCAATAACTATATGACATACCATGTTGGGGAAACTGATGCTGTTTTGGTTTCTGGTGCTGTTTCTTGCAAACTTGAGTCAATGTTTAACAATGGAGAAAAAAAGGTGAAGAGCTAGAGGTGGCTACTTCTTTTGTGGTGAAACAAATGAGAGGAAAATGGCACAATGGAACGAAGGCGGGTTGATTGTATAAGAGAGGGGATGAGGTGGATTGTAGCCATGCCTTAATGAATCCAGATTACATTTAAAATTATTTTTCAGAATATCAGAGAAGAACACACAAAAGTTTCACAAGGAGCACGTTTCATCATTTAAGCAAAAGGGTCTATTCTCTTCTACAGGCAGTCCTTGACTCACAACCACAACTGAGCCCAAAATTTCTGTTGCTAAGCAAGAGAGTTGTTAAGTGAATTTTGCTCTATTTTGCCATCTTTCCTGCCATCATTGTTAAGCGAATCACTTCAGTTGTTAAGTTCATCACAAAGTTGTTAAGTGAATCTGGCTTCTCCACTGACTTTGCTTGTCAAAAGGCAATCACACTGCAACCGTCATAAATATGAGTCAGCTGCCAAGCATCCGAATTGGGATCCCGTGACCAGGGAGATGATGCAATGGTTGTAAGCAGTGGTGGGATTCAAATATGTGAACAACCGGTTCTCTGTGTGGATGCCACTTCTGGAAATCCATTCTGGGCCTGGGCAACAAAAAATTAGCTACCGGTTCTGCCGAACCGGTGCGAACTGGCTGAATCCCACCACTGGTCGTAAATGTGAAAAACAGTCTTCACTCACTTTTTTCAATGCCGTTGTAACTTCAAATGGTCCCTAAATGAACTGTTGGGAGTCGAGGACTACCTGTATTGTTGTCAAAACACTTGCCAAGAAAGATGAAGTTATTCCAATAGCCAGGAGGCTCGTGAGTGCCTCTTTTGACAATGGTTACCCAAAGGACACACAGAAAGGAGGAATATCATAAATTTTGCCGCATATGGACTAGAACAGACATGTCAAACTCGCGACGTCACGTGACGTTGCGCAACGTATCGGAGCTTTTTCGCCGTTGCCGACAATGGGGTGGGCACGGCTCCGGTATGATGAAACCGGCCCGCGGGCCGGCAGTTTGACAACCCTGGACTAGAACAAGAGCCCCCAGGCCCCACAGTGGGTGAGCACAACTTTGCATGCATGGGATCTAGGTTTCACGCTTCTCCTTCTCCCCCCGCCATGTGGAAAAATTGTCTTCCGGTCCCTAGTGCCAAAAAAGTTGGGGAGTACTGGATTAGAAGACCTATGAGGTCTTTTCCAGACCATGATTTTATCCCCTTTGTACAACAATGGTTGGAGTGCTTTAATCCGGGCCACTACAACCCAGTTTGTAAACTGTGCACCACACAAGGGTGTTGCATTGGGGGGGGGTAACACCAGTTGTATTTTAAAAAAAAACAAAAACCAGGAGCACAATATCAATAGTAGAAGATTGGGACTTTGCACACATGCTCAGAGAGTTGTGACAAAAGCTACACCTGCAACCTAGCAGGCCTTCATATAAATATAATCTATATAAATAAAAATGTAAATGTTTGTTTGTTCAAAATCTTAAATCTCCGAAAGTTGTTCACCGATTGCTTTGAAATTTTGACACAACGTTGCATTCGAACACGCGCGTGTTTTTATATACCTACTATTATATAGATGTCACACCTGTGACAGTTAAAAACATGCTGTTTTTGAAAAACAGCGCCATCTGTTGGATGTAAACATATTATAAACATGCGCTTTCTCTTTTCTTTCTTTTCCATTTAACCAGACTGAGCCACAGCAACGCGTGGCCGGGTACAGTTAGTAATTTATATGGGAGGACACCAAGTGGAATTCTGCAGAAGGGTGTGTTGTATGTCAGCAACAGTCTTGGTATTAATGGAAATTGTATAGCATTTTTTGTCAAGGTCATGCTGTCCTTGTTGTGGGTTCACCATAAACCATGCTGTATTTCATCAATTTTTGAATAAGTCACGGTGGCCTAGTTCTTGCATGCCATACTACGCCATAAACCATGATTGACAACCTACAGTGCCTACGAAAATCCAGTAAATTAGAATATGTGTACATACAGTGCTTTTAACTTGAAGGAAAATGTTTTTTCTTTTATGTTTTATCACCCTCTGGTGATGCAATTCCTTTTTCGAGGATGCATAAACAGCTATCTGACTCATATAGTATCTGAGAGTAGAGGAATCCTCACTCCTGAAATACGATTCTGTCTCAGCTTTCTGACCAGGAAGTTCTCATTTTAAAAATTAAAGAACACATATTATTCAATGTACTAAAAACCTGCCTTCAGGATGGCCATTAAATTCAGTATAATAGTAATTCTCTGCCATGAATAAATAAACTTTGAGCTTACAAAAACTTCTACAGTCTTTTTTACAAGAGCGCCATCTAGTGGATCTAGAGGCAGCTAACAGTTTCCAAGGGCTTTCTACGTTTCTGGAAAAAAGGTGGATTAATTGATCGATTGGTCGATTGGTTGATTTCTCCTGGGGTCACCTGATTTAGGGATTGTAATTTTCATGGCAGCACCTAGCTGATCTTCCAATCTCAAAAATTAAGTGATATCAGAAGAATTTAGGAATCTTTTCAGAAACACAGAGGTATAGACTAGGCTGGAAACAAAAGAAGTCACCTAGAAAAAGACAATAGTAAACCGCCTCTGAACTGTTGTTCTAAATCTGTATGGAGGTGAAAGTTTCATGAAATCATTGTGTTTCTAATTCAACTTGATGGGGACTATTTTAACCTTTAGTCCTTGATTTATGATGAGTCACTTAGCAACCATTCAAAGTCACTAAGGACCCCCCCCGAAAGGTACTTACAACTTGAATTCAAAGTTCTGATAGTTACTGTCCCCCCCAGCCCCTTGATCACATGACTGCATTCTGGGCACTTGGCAGCTGGCCTGTATTTATGACTGCACTGTCGTGTTCAGATGACCACAATTTTTGAGATTTTTGCCAAAAAGGATCCATAGCAAACAATGGGTTCGTTTTATGAACATGGCCTTTTACAACCAAAAATGGTTGTAAAATCAAGCCGGTCACATGGGTGACTCGCTTTACTTAACTTAAACTTAAAACCAGGCTCCATTATGGTCATAAGCAAGGAATACATGCCGGTTGCTAAGCTCTGGAAGTTTGATCATTTGACCATGGGGACGCTGTAACAGTCGTAAGTGTGCAAACAGTCCTAATTCACATAGAATGGTCACTAAACGAACCGTTGTAAGTCAAGGACTGCCTCTACGTAGGTTTTCTGAATAGGTAATACGAGTTGCTTTAGAACAGGGGTCTTCCAACTTGGCCCTTTTATGACTTGTGGACTTCAACTCCCAGAATTCATCAGCCAGCGTGCCTGGCTGAGGAATTCTGGGAGTTGAAGTCCACAAGTCATAAAAGGCCCAAGTTTGAAGACCCCTGCTTTAGAAGCATCCAAAGAGGTCCAAAATGGATATGAGATGTTGAGAGATCTAATCTTACACTTACAGCTGAATATTTACTGTTCCATCCCTGCAGAAATACAGATGTACACACAGTGGCCTCACTTTTGAAACTCTACCTCAGAGAGTTGCCAGAGCCTGTGATCCCATATTCCAAATATGAAGAGTTTCTCTCCTGTGCCAAAATGCTCAGCAAAGAAAAGGAAGCGGTGAGTTTTGTCTCTTGGTTTGGATTTCTGTTAGTACCCAAATCCCCTTATCTGCGGATTCTAAATGAATTTAGTTCCTAATTATTTGCATGGGTGCTGGATAGTTCACCATTTTTTACTTTTTTTTAACATATTCACACAGGGGCTGAATGAATTAGCAAAGCAAGTGAAGAATTTGCCGCTCGTCAACTTTAATCTACTCAAGTACATTTGCAGGTAAGTCATCCTGACTAATAATAATAATAATAATAATAATAATAATAATAATAATAATAATAATAATAAGGCTGTGCCCAATATATCATTAGACAGTCCAGTTGTTTTAGCCATTTTATTAGGATAATTGCAGACGGGTTGATTTTTGTCTGAATCCTTATTACAAGTATGAGAGACTATATGGAGACTACAATCTCTTGAGAATTGCCTGGAAATGTTGAAACCTCCAGTCACATCAGGAGAAGCTACAGTGAGGAAATCTAGCAATTCCTCCTTTAGATGACTCGCTTCTATTTTGTATTTAGCAAGATGTAGTAATTTCTCAGTTTATGATTACCTGCACTGGGGCAATGCTAGGATTTTTGGTCTGATAGTCTTCAGATAGGCTGGATTGTGGTTACCATCATCCTCTATAACAAAGCCTTCTTACTAAAAATGATGGAAGTTATGATATAGTCCCTCCATAAAGCAGCATTGTTTGCCCTAAAGTAATCATGACAACACCCAAAATTGTGTTATTGGACGAGCATGTGGTTGGAACATTGAACAACCATTTTTGTGCCAGTACAATCACATTTGAGTTGGTTGTTTTGCCAGGAGTTACTTTTCTGCTTTTCGGGAGGGATACAAATGACGGAGATCATTTTGATGGAGATCATTTTTGAGGGAGATGGGCAGTTCAGAAATGTGATAGATAAATACATGTTAACATACATACATACATACAACCACCAGGGACTTGTAACTAATGCCTTGTCTTTAGATATTATAATTGAAACTTATTCTAGATGTATGTTCCATTGATTTCAGTGAGATGCATTAAATAGGAATTAGACTAAGTCATAGATCTGTTTCATATATTGTGCTGTCATGATTTTTTTTGTGTATATATATTTTATCAACAAGAATAAAGTGCAAAACAAAGGACACAGAAAAACATATATCCAACAGAAACAAAAAAATGTGTACAAAAAAGAGAACAAAGCATAACCCAAACATCAAATAAATCTAGCAAACACAAAAAAATCCACCCTCTCTAGATGCTGGAAAGAAAATAAATTTAAAAAACCCAATAAATTCTCCTACCCTTACACAATGGGTCTACAAATAATTATAGACTTTCTCATCCTTACTAAATGAGAAAAAATATATAAGCAAATATTTCAGATGAAGAGATCTCTGTCTAATAATTGAATCGACCCAACATCTAATCATATTTTCTGACTAAGCTATAATGATCTGGAATCATGCAACATAGCGAGCCCTAATTTGTGCTGTACAAAGTTCAGTGATTTGATTCATACAACATGCTAAGCCAAACAAAGCAAAATCATTTAATGCTTTATATGATTTCTTGTAGCAAGCTCACTGGAATCAATAGAGTCAATAGAAGTCCCCATGGTTTTAATAAATCCATTTTATGTTTCAATACATCTGGATGCAATCCAATATGAGGAAATAGAGAGAAAACATGAATAGGTGGTCGAGAATTTAAAGAACATGGTAAAGAATAGTAGTTATTCTCCCTGGAGTCTAGCCAAAACTTCTAGATTTTATCTTTCTTTCCTTTTGACTTTATTTCCCCTACTCTTTTTTTTCAAATTCAACCAGGGAATTTTTCTATAGATTAAAATAGACAAAATATAATCAATGGCACCCAACTGCTGTTTAAAAGATAACAGCAAATGAGAATCAGATCAATCCTTGGAGAACAACGGAGTGTTTAATCTTCTGTTCCTCCTCCAGGAATGATACAAGTATGTCTTTCTCCATTTCTTCACCAAAGACATTCTCTGTGTCTTTTCTCCACTTCCAATATAAAAGCAGCTCCAGAGAACAGGCCAGTCTAGTTCAAGATTGCAGCAGAGGCTGTGTGGCTTATTTTTAAAAAGAATTTATGTATGCAATTCCTAGTTTTATTTCGCATGATGTATCTGATGAAATTTTGTCATCATATGTGACTGAATCCTGGACTTTTGCTCTCTTCCTACCCTACCTACTTCTGGTTCCTTGAATGTCTGAGTAGATTTCTGGATGAAGTTCAATCCTATTCTGGAGTCAACAAAATGAGTGTGCAAAACCTTGCAACTGTGTTTGGCCCCAACATCCTCCGTCCCAAAGTGGAAGATCCTTTGACAATCATGGAAGGTAAGTAGATGAGGATGAAAATGATCATGATAGTTCCACGTGAGCAGCGGGCAGAGCTTGCCCAAATGGAGCGGGCGCACATGCGCTTGCCCGCTACTCAAGCAAATGGGGATGCGTAGGTGCGCTCGCCCACCACTTCTGCGGTCCAGTTCTGAACAGCTCAAAGCCTGGTAGTGGGCCGTGGCCTGGGAGTTGGCGACCCCTTGTGTAATGGTATCTGGGAATGACTTTGGGAGATAGGAGGCAAAGCACGGAGTTGCCAACTGGTGGGTAAATGTTATCTCAGCCCACCGAAGGAGGAAGGCTGTGGAAAATATGTTAGGAGGGACACTCTCTAATTTTCTAGAGAGTAAAATGAAAGGAGTAGAGAAATATCTCAAACGTACTGTTTCAAAAGGCAATTGGACTTCATTTTTTTTCTTGAAGATGTTTCGCTTCTCATCCAAGAAGCTTCTCATCGGTTCTGATGAGAAGTGAAACACCTTCAAGGAAAAACAAAGTCCATCTGCCTTTTGAAAAAGCATCTTTGAGACAACCATGATCTGGATGACTCGAGAATCTCCATAGATGAGTGGGAAAATACTTTCAGCCTTATAAGATTCCGTCAATATAATCTTATAATAAAGATAGAGCTGGTACTTCTGATTGGGCTCTTGTCTGGACTACTTCACAGGGCTAACAGGTAGTCCACATAGATAATCTCATTTGCTATGTGCTATTTAAATCATCCAGACAGTGATTATACATGGCAACAAAAGCCATTAAAATGATCTCCTCTTCCTCCATTTTTTTACAATTATGGAATTCAATGCCATACAATGAATACCTATGGATAACAGGAGGGATAAAATTATTGTCCTTCTGGCCTTGTCTTCTCTCATACTGTTACATAACCCTTTCCAACTCAAGGGATCTGTGGACACCATTGGAAAAATCAGATCTCAGTTGGCAGAACGCAGGTCTGCATATCCTGTACATTGTTGGTAATTTAGAATACTGGGGAAAAGATTTTACATTTCAGTGGCTTGGCAATACTGATATTAATGAGCTTGTCCATTGCTTTATGCTTTTAGAATGATAAATACACAAACATAAATATAAATACATGGAGGGCTCAGAGATGGATTTTTGTTTGGAAGAGTTGTGAAGTCAATTGAGTTCTGGCAGATCACATAAATTGGTAGTCTTAGAATTAATTCTAAATAAGTATGTCAGAGCAGGTGCATGAAAATTAATTTTACAGTGGAACCAATGCTGGAAGGACGTGGTAGACTCTGTTTTGCTAGATGAGTTCAAACAGGCACATTTGAGAGGAATGTAAATTGCTGCACCGAGAAAATAGTTGAATCTAGTGGTCTAAAGGATCCTTTCAAACTCTGTGCTCCAACTTTAATTGATCTCTGGATTCTAGTTAAAAAACCAGAATCCATCCTACATGCCTAAAGACACCCCACCCCTCAATTAAGCCGCTAACATTCTTGTTACAATATTATAAAAATCTAATTATGAAAGTTAAAGCACTCCATTTGCTTCAAAAAGATCCTGATCTAAGTTAATCTAAGATCTTAGATCAGTGGTTCTCAACCTTTTTAATGCCGCAACCCCCAACCGGTTGTAAGTCGAGGACTAAACCGGTCATAAGTCGAGGACTAAACCGGTCGTAAGTCGAGGACTACCCAACCGGTCGTAAGTCGAGGACTTTCACTGCCCGGGAGTGCTGCGCATGCGTGGTTCCGCCCCCTCACTGGCCGAGGCGTAGCTGGCAAGCGGCAGAGACAGAGCAGGCCGACCACCAGCTGGCCCAGCTCAAGGGAGGTAAGGCACCCGCCGGAAAAGGGGAAAAAAATTGCGGACAGCCTTGCTTGGCGACTCCTGTGAAATGGTTGATCGACCCCAAATGGGGTCGCGACCCATAGGTTGAGAACCGCTGTCTTAGATGAAAGTAGCATAAAGAAATGGGCATATCTGTCTTGTGCCTACAGATGTTCGGATTGTCAAGGTGTTACCCCCAACCCGAGAAGGCAGATGACTGTCCAATTCATGTGAGAAGAAAGAGTTCAGTCAGCATCTTTGCAAGCTTTCTGTTTTCCTTTTATATGATCCTCATTTGACAAAAACAAAAGGGCATCCATCTTAGTAGCTAAATCTAGCTGGTGAATTTTTGAAACTCAGTTCTCTTTACAGCTGCCCAAGGGTAATTTCCGCTAAAAGAAGCAGAGGTCACATCTGAGTAGTTGTGCCTAGAATGACCCTGTTAATCTGTTTTGGCATTTGGTGTAGGTAAGCAGGTTGGTCATGATTGCTTTTTGGAAAGTGGGGACATTAATCAACGGCTCCACTTAGTAGAACAGGCTGAATGGCGAATTGGACCCTCACTTTACCAAAACAGCTAAGATATGCAGTTTTCCAGAGAAGTTGCTGCTCTGCCTGGATGTTTTATTCTGAACTGAGACTCAATGTGAGAAGGATACAACTTACAACCATTCATTTAGTGGCCATTCAAAGTTACAACAGCATCGGAAAAAGTGCCTGATGATTGGTTTTCACACTTAACAACCGTTGCAGCATCTCCTTAGCCAACCTGATCAAAATTTGGTAATTCGTTCATATTTATGACCGTTGCAGTGACCTGCGGTCATGCGATCCCTTTTGTGACCTTCTGACAAGCCAAGGGTCATGGTTCCGAAAGATGAGACCCCCCCAAAAAAAGGAACTATAAGGCAAAAAGAATTTCCTTACAGAACATATTTATTTGGCTACATAATATTGGCACGTTCAAAAGTGAACCCAAAACTGAAACGCCCCCCAAAGGTTACAAAGTTACAAAGTTACACTTCCCACCCCAGCAATGTGTCATAAATCACATTCCCCAAGTAATTACTTGTGTGGGCTTTCTACCCGCCAAAATGCAGTTAGCAATGACCTTGGTTCCCACAGAACAATTTATTGTTACGTCTAACATTAAAACACTCATCCCCCTTCCCAATTCTGTGGCCAACGAAAATGGAGGGAAAATGGCTTCAGCTGATTTTGTTTTTAGAGTTGACACAAAGTTAATGATTCGCTTAACAACCATGTTACTAACTTAACAATTGCAGTGATTCACTTAACAACTGTGGTAAGAAAGGTTGTAAAAGTCACTTAACAACTGTCCTGCTTAACAATAGAAATTTGGGCTCAATTGTGGCCATAGATCAAGGACTACTTGTACATTACAGTACAGTATGGTACATTATGCTTATGTGATCCCACTCCTGTGTGAGCTGCATTGTTTACTGGTTGGTTTCCAGGTGCAATTCAGTTCATGTTGGTTACCACCTTTAAAGCCCTTCATGGCATAAACCTGGCTATCTGAGGGACCATTTACCTGTCTGTTTCTGTACTCTGGATCCCATCTATGAAGCAATGCCATCTTATGGGACCCAAGGTTGCAGCACCTACTTTTTGGGATGATACCCTTGCAGAGTTTCATGTGGCTGAGACACTGAGGGTGTTCCGTAAATTACACAAAATCTGGTTGTCCTTCCATGCCTTGGGTTAAGGTGTTCACGTAGCCCTTTCTAATCAGTTTCATTTTATTTCATTTAAAAATGGGCGTTTGTTCTTCTGATCAGACATTTTCTTCTTTTTATATGCATCGCTTCCTCTTTTTATTTGTAAGCTCTCCAGCATCATTGAGGAGTCGGGGGAGGGGGCGCACAGAAATGTGAATAAATAAATATTTGACTCTTAACATATATTAGGCTTATACTATAAAAAAAAACACATTTGAGCATTTGCTTATACAATTAAAAAAACACCACATTTTGGAAATATGCTTAAAACAGCCACCCGAAGACCTCCACCTTCATTTTATTTCTAGAAATATGGAAGAAGGTGGAAAGGATGGTGAAGTGCTTAGATGCCATGTTCCACATGAAAGGTCCATAAATTAAAAAAAAAAGAAGCCGTGCTGTTTGGCTTCCAGGAGTGTTTGAAGAAAGGAGACTGGCAATTCATTACCTGCATCTCGGAATGACAACCCCTCCTGATTTCCTGGAATTCACTTTGATTTATAGTACTTGCAGCATATTCTCTACTCAAGGGTAGGGATGCACTCTAGACGCTGCTCCAAGCTTCATTCCAGAGTGTTTATTTCTATTGATATTAGATTAATTTTTACAAGTCTTTTCATTATAATGTGCTGTTACAGTCAGCAAAATTACATTTGTAGAAATGGGAGCCAGGGACCTTCACCCTCTTCCTTCTGAAGATTTCTGTGGTGGGCCTCCTGTATGGCAGGTGACCCTCAAGCCATCTGGTGAAGTTCAGAAATTCTAATTAGACCATTCATCTCTCTGCTCTGTGTGGCTTTGCTCCCACTGTGCTCTCCCAGAGTTCCTTAAGGGTTCTTTAGTTGCTTGTTTTGCTCTGGTGTGGAAAATGAACTTTTTTCCATACTGTGGAATCCACAGAGGGTCAGGTTGTATGGCCTAAACAGGGATGTGTGAAGAATGGAGTTTGTCCTGTGAAGTATGGACTTCAATCTGCTGCATTGTCTTATAGTCTTCACAGTTCTAAGCCAGTGGGACTAATTTCAGTGAAGGGTCTGAGAATTTTAGTCCAATTAATATTGGTATATTGTATAGTTAGAATAAATGTGGCATTAATAGAATGGAAACATAGGAGAGAGAGAGAGGGAGAGAGGGAGGGAGAGAGAGAGAGAGAGAGAGAGGAAGGAAGGAAGGAAGGAAGGAAGGAAGGAAGGAAGGAAGGAAGGAAGGAAGAGACAGAGCAAAAGAGAGAGAGAGAAGGGAAGGAAGGAAGGAAAAGAAGGAAGGAAGGGACAGCAAAAGAGACAGAGAGAGAAGGGAAGGAAGGAAGGAA